TCGTTGAATTGTATTTTTTCGTGCAAAAAACTTAGCCAAATAGCAATAAATTAAGTGACTCGTTTCATTTATTTTGTTCGCATCCAAATCTGTCAAAGTTTTTCGCGTCATTTTTCTCTGCGAGAGCTGTGTTCTTGTACTTGATGACAAAGCGAAACAAGTTAAGGCTGATCGTTTCGTTACTTATCCAATCACTTGGACGTTTCTAGTTCGTTCCACTTTCAATGCTTTTATTTGACACTTATAATACTTGCTGCTTGATGCACTGAAGTTTGATCGGTTCCATGCGGTTAATTGCAATCTCATTGCAGAATTCACAAACAGCCTTACATATCGCTGCAAAAGAGGGACACATTGAGTTGGTTCGTTGTCTTTGTCTGTTTGGTGCAAGTGTTCACAAAAAGAACAAGGTTAATTTTTGAAACAGATTCTTTTTTTTTTTGTTTTTTCTTGATAATTTTCTAAATGGTCAGTTGAACTGCCAGGAAAATAGGTGAGTTTAGTTTTGATGAGGGAGAGAATTAGAAAATTATTCCAGTTTCATTTTCATCCTCAACCGTTCTTGAAAAATATTTTGACGACCACTCATATACCAGTATGGTATGTGGTCATGAAGAGTTTAAATCAGACATGATATATATGTGTTTTGAATGAACTGGTCGATTGCTTTATTAAATGCAATGTTAGTTTGAATATTCGTCAGTTGTATGTGACTACACATGCATCTGTAATATATTTATTTGTATTTTTAATTCTACTGCTCATTGCCATATTTCAATAAAACACAGATGATGAATAGGACATTCGAAATAAATAATTCATTTCGTGTTTTGCTTAATATTATGTTCCGTCCATTAAGTACCTGTCTTTTTTCAATGAACGTTATGCAATTGCATCTAACCTACTAGTGATTTCTTTATCCTGAAAAGTTTGTCGTTCATTTTTGCTTAAGAGCAATGCATAATGAGTAGATTAATTCGATTTCAACCAACTGCAAAGTGTTATACAATCCAAAGTTCTATTAGTATTATTGATGTGAATGTTGAGAAATGAATTATTTGAAGTAATTATACGAGCAGATTATTGTTGTTACATCATTTCAAGTATCTGTTAAAATACACTGCATCCCATAAGCATCGATCTCATTTAATATAGTCTCAATAAAGAGGTATTCAAGTAGACCATTGGGAATGATGTGAAGTGCTCATGCTGTGTGTACTGCACTTCGTTATTTTTATAACCACTATCACAGTTTTGTTCCTCTTAATCTTATCGTTATCATTTGCGTTTCATATCCGTCTTAAGCGTTAGCAGCTTCATGCTTGCGCTATAAATATGCCTCTATGCAATTCTCTTCAATGTTAGATTAGATCACAATTGTTACAAATTGCTATTTATAATATTATAAGCTGCAAGTGACAGTCTTTATTTCCTCCCTTTTGTCACTTTAATTAACATTATTTCTTCATCCATCGATATGTTATTCAGTATTATCCTTCCTAGTTACTGTTCATCCAATGTATCGTTTGTTTTGTGACAACGAGAAATGTAAACCAGTGTTAAATTATGCCATTCATGCTTGCATTCGTCTGTCTCTATCTTATAGTGTTTCTTCTTTCTTTTGCTATTCTTATTTTGTGATAAAATTAGTTCATTTCTACACTTCTAACTCAGTCAAATTCACGAATCAATCGAACATCACCTGTCTATAATATCTATGTATATACCCATCAAAAACAATGATTAATTTAATTGTCACCTCATTATTCACCTTACCCACTTACTCACACGAACACATACACATCTTCAATCTTATCTAACAATTGCGATCAATAAACATCAACCACAGTCACTGTCAGTTAGTTGCAAGTTTCGTATGATTCATCACTATTTGATTATTTGCTTATCAATTAGATTTTACCTTATTCTCACGTACTTGATTTCATTTTGCATCTTTCACGATTCTTATTGCATCGTTTTTCACTTTTATTTCATTCTTTTCATTCAAAATCTGGCTCTAGTTTTTTCACAATTCTATTCCACCCTTACAAGTTTTGCAGTCATTATCGACACAGTCCTTCGTACGCACTTCGTCTTCTTATTCAATCTATTCATCTCACGATAGGTGTCACAAAAAGTATTATTAGTCATATAT